AGATCTAATTAATCTTCTTAAGCCTTAATTACATTAGGCTTAAGCAAACATAAACCCTAATTAGGTCTAACCCAAATTAAGACCTAAATAAATTAAACCTTAATTACATTCGGTTTAATTAACCATAAACCCTAATTAAGTATAATCCAAATTAGACTTAATTAATATAATTAAGCCTTACTTACATTAGGCTTAATTAACCCTAAACCTAAATAGGTCTAACCCAAATTAAGACCTAATTAATCTAATAAAGTCTTACTTACATTAGGCTTAATTAACCCTAAACCTAATTAGGTTTAACCAAATTTAGACCTAATTAATCTAATTAAGCCTTACTTACATTATGCTTAATTAACCCTAAACCTAATTAGGTCTAACCCAAATTTTGACCTAATTATTCTAATTAAGCCTTACTTACATTAAGCATAAATAACCCTAAACCTAATTAGGTCTAACCCAAATTTAGACCTAATTAATCTAATTATGCCTTACTTACATTAGACTTAATTGACCCAAAACCTAATTACGTCTAACCCAAATTTAGACCTAATTAAACCTATTAAGCCTTCTTTACATTACACTTAATTAACCTGAATCAACCTAAACTCTAGGTTTAGCCTAAAGTGAACTTAAGTCAAATCAAACCTTGGTTTCAATCTAAATTAAATCTAAGTTAACTTAAGTGAACCTAAGTCAACTTAAATTGAACCTAAATAAACTCTAAGTCTAATCAATATTAGACTTAGTTAAATTCTAAGTCTAACTTATATTAGACTTAAACAAATTTCCTTAGATTTAACTTATATCAGATCTAAACTTTAAGTTCTACCTAAATTGAACTTAAATTATCTCTAATCCTTAGGTTCTACCTACATTGAACCTAAACATACCTTAGATCCTACCTAATTTGAATCTAAACTATATTAAACTTTAGGTTCTACTTACATTGAACCTAAACCATTTCATACCTTGGGTCTTACTTAAATTGGACCTAAAACTATATTATACCCAAAGTGAACTTAAGTAATCTTATGTCCTACCTATATTGGACTTAAATCATCTTAAAATTTAGGTTCTACCTAAATTGAACCTAAACCATTTCATACCCTAGTTTCTACCTAAATTGAACCTAAAACTATCTCTAACGTTAGGCTCTACCCAAATTGAACCTAAGTAATCTTAACTCCTACCTACATTGGACTTAAATCATCTTAAACTTTAGGTTCTACCTACATTGAACCTAAACCATTTCATACCCTAGGTTCTTTCTAAATTGGACCTAAAACTATCTCTAATCCTTAGCTTCTACCCAAATTGAACCTAAAGTCCTACCTATATTGGACTTAAATCATCTTAAACTTTAGATTCTACCTATATTGAACCTAAACCATTTCATACCCTAGGTTTACCTAAATTGAACCAAAAACTATCTCTAACCTTAGGTTTCACCTAAATTGAACCTATACTATCTCAATGCTTAGATACTAACAACATTGAACCTAAATTTTAGGTTTAATCTATTAATACTTAAATAACCTTCTTAAGATATAAACGATAATCAGACCTAAAATAAATAACATAATAAATAGAAATTAATTCACAAATGAAATAAAACTCATTTTAAAAGACATTAAAACTTAAATTTGAACCTAAAAATAAAACTTAAAATCAGTGTTTGAATCTACGAAGATTTCTTGGACGACACAATCTATGGTTGATGACAAGAATCTTTCAGTCCTGGTTTAAATACCTTTCGAACTAAGTAGATTTGAATACCTTACGGCCCTGGGATGATGGAGCTATAGACATCTTGATCGGGTCATTTAAAAATTATTCAACCAACTAAATTGACAAATTTAAACATGATTTCATGCTAATTGTGTTCTATTTTGCGGGTTTATTGGAGACATGAAACAAATTACGCTTTAGATTTACTTTACACGTTATTAGGGTGTGCTAACTCTATTTTGCAAGATGACATACTAAAGCGAAAAGGGTGAACCTCAAGACAACAAAACAGACAACAAAAACCAATAAAACAAAACAACAAAAGTAAAACTAAACGACATAAACAAAATAACAAAGCAATAACAACAAAACAACAAAAAAACAAAACAACAAAACCAAACGACATAAATAAGACATAAAAAAATAAAATTACAAAACAAAATAAAACAAGATGACATTAACAAAAACAAAATGACAAAAACAAAACCTTTAGTGTAGAATTGGATTCTTAGAAGCTTATTACTCTAGGCTCAAACATTGATGTTTCTTTCCTTGATCTTGACATCAAATTCCTTAGAGAACGAGCGTTAACGATAATCAGGATTTTTCTTAGACAATCTTGATTGTCTAAGATGTAATTAACTATAGGAGCTTGCTTCTACAGAAGAATAAAGAACTCAGAATAGGTAATATACCTATATCTTTGGTCATTGAGTTTTTCATGTGGTTTTCCTTAAACAAGAATTTATTTTCTATACAGTGGTCACCACAATGAAAATCATCTCTACAATTCCTTTTTATACTATTTTTTATTTTTAATTAGCCCTTTTCCTTCTTCCTCCGAGTTTCTTGAAATCTGAGAATCTTTCACATGATTCAAAAGAATAAGTTACTTGGATAATAGGGCGATAAGATAGATAAACGGAGTGGCAACTCCTCGACAATAATAACATCAACATTTGACATCGATATTAGACATGAGGGAATTGTCGACCATAACAGTGACACGATTCCGATGGCGACATCTAAGTTCCCTTAGACTTAGCTTAAAACCCATTCTATGTTAGACTTAATTGATTTTAGATTCAATCGACATTTGAGTCTTAAAAACATTAAGTCTTAGCCACATAAACTCTAGTTGAATTTTGAGTTAGACCCAGCTCAAATTCAACATCAACTTCATTTATTACAATCTAATTCCAGACATGATCAAGATCTAACCTAGTTTGTACTAAAACAATCTAAATTCCTTTTAATTTAACTACAAAGTTAACCAAACTTAACTTAAGTTCAAAAGATCATTTGGATGAACTCTAGTTATCCATAATGAGCATTTTAAGTTCAAAATGAACTTTGAGTCTAGAATTGATTCAAATATGATTCAGATTTAAAGAAAATTTACGTTTAAATTAAGCTTTCGCCTAAGTTGTTTGAACTTGAATTTCTCTAAACTAACCTAAATTAGTTTGGGTCAATCTTAATATACTCAAGTAAGTTCAGTAGAACTTGAGAGTGAAAATTGGATCACATAAAAAAATCTTTCCTTAGATTAATTCAACTTAACTTGAATTATTCTAAAGATAAATTCTCACGTCAAGTATTTGAGGGTTATATAGGGTTTCTCAATATGAGAAATATAGCACATTTTACCTCATTCAAGGAATACTTTTGGCTGAGTCATGGTTGCTAATAAAATATCTTCCAGTCATTCGTGACTAATCAAACCACAAACTTAATGACCTGAGATGACGGAACCATAGGATCCTGGTCGGGTAATCCCAAACAAAAATAAATAACAAAAATGACAAAAATTTAATCGGCTAATAAATCGTAAGCAACCTAAAATTTTCCAACCCCTAAAATTCGAATAAGATACTAAAACTTAAATTGAACTCTAATGAACAAAGATCACTGAACACAACCAGTGTTCAGATCTACGAAGATCTCTTGGACGATGTAATCTGTGGTTGCTAACAAGATTCTTCCGGTCCTGGTTTAATCATTATTCATACTTTGAATATCCTGACAACTTCAGGACGACGGAGTCATAGACATCTTGACCAGTTTGTCTAAGTATTAAAAATTCAACAAACTAATCTATAAACCAAAATATAAATATGTACTAACTTTCCTTTGCAGGTTTATTCAAATTAATCGTTGCTACATACTTTGCAGAGACAAGTACAGAAGATTGGGAACCAAGGATGAAATCTAACTGAATATCAACCTATAGGATAGTTAGAATTTTTAAGATTCTACTATCTTCAAAGTCAAATTCAGATATCTTATTGAGAACATTTATTTAACCTTAATCAGGAGTTTTCTTAAATAATTTTTGTCATTTAAGATATAATTAACTATAGGGCTTGCTCTTATAGGAAGAAGAGAACTCTAGAATAAATTTGATTTCTCTTATTATCAATTTTCATAAGGATTCATCTGCAATCATATCTTGAAAGTATTTCCAACATATATTTTAAAGATGCAGGTGTTTATCTTCATGGAAGTTTCCACATATATTTGCTCCTGTTATTATTTACCCTGATCCTTTAATCTTCATGTTGAAGATTGGTCCGGTAAAAAGGTAGTATAACAGGTAACAAATTGGTGACTCCATAACAACGACAATAAAGTAAGAACTGACGACGCCAATCGTCCAAAATGTTAGAACAATGACGATAACAAACATTTTTGGCGCCGACGAAGTGAAGCTATATATCATGTGTAAATGTGGAGCCATGAAATACCTTCAAAGAGGGAGGTCATGCATATCAAATTTGCATTTGCGTATAAAAAAAAATGTGAATGATGAAACTATTATTACTATCATTAGTACCCTCTACATATGATTTGGTTTATGATTACATTCAACCAAACAAATAGGAGTTGGGAAACATTTAATGACATATATATGAGACTTAACTTTAATTTAGAAACTACTTATCTTTAAATATTAAAACACATCAAATATATTTTATATTTTTAAATAAAAAAAAGATATCAATATAATTTTAATTATTTTTAAACTTAACTAAATAAATGGGAAAATGGTTTCAATGTTTAAATTTGGATCTTTAAATGCACAAATTTAGAATTGATTAATTTTTTTTTTAAATTTGGATCTAAGATATGTAAATAAGTTTAGATGGCATATATGTAAATAACATTGTTTACCCCTATTTCTAAACGGGTGGTGGGGCCAAGCCGGCTTAGCCATCTGTCTCTCCTTCTGCCGCCACTCGCCAAATCCAAGGCAACCGTTACCATTCAGAATAAGAATAAAACTAAAGACGACGACCGAACGCGCGCAGCGAAGGGAAAAAAAACCAGAGCAAATTCCAACAAACCTCCGCGCGTGGTGGATCCAAATCTTTGCAGGAAAGCCATTCGGCGGTTTCGTAAGAAATTGATTTCTTTATTGGCTTTTCCATTTCTCTCGTTCCCTGTCGCTTCTCATTCTCATTCTTCTTGAATTTCTCCCCCTTCTCGTTGCCTAGCGAGAAATGATCGGAAATAGAAAACAACGATGCTTTAATTTCCCCCTCCTTTGACCACCTCTCCCTTTCATCCACCTCTCGCTTTTCGAAATGGCTGATCCTGCTATCTTCTCTTCTTCCTTCAATCTCCTTCGCCTTTTCTTTCTTCTTATTTGGAAGGAAGCATAACGCAGCTGTAATAAACATTCATCTCTCCGAAGGGGAGGGATGGGGCTCTGCCTCTCAATTTGGGCCGAAAGGGTGACCGGATTTGGAAGCACCAACGCGTCCAGCTCCAGCAAAAATGAGGGTAACAGGTGCCGGCGAGAGAAGCCGCATGAGAGGCAGAGGGAGAAAAAGAGGGGAAGGAAGGCGGGAATCAAGCCTGTTCCATGCGGGAAGAGGACGGACTTCGGATTTAATCGGGATTTCGCTGATAAATATACAATCGGAAGGCTGCTGGGTCACGGGCACTTCGGATATACGTTCGTCGCCGTTGACAGGATTAATGGGGATCAAGTCGCCGTTAAGAGGATCAACCGGAATAAGGTAGATTGCATTCTTTTTGTAGCTCTGTTTTGGATTATTCTTTTTTTTTGTGGTTTTTACTGAAGTGATTTGAAAGCGCAGTTTTAACAGAGAAAGATTATCTTGCTTGATAGTTATTGGACAATTCTACACTTCTTTTACAATTTTTTTCTTAATTTTCTAGAATTATCGTAGTAAGAAAATTCTTGTGATTTCTCTTTCTGGGCTGAAAAAGCTGATAATGTTAGTTGAAAAGTGATCTGGCTTTCCGTTAATTACTGTTTTATCTTTAAGTCAAACAGCCATATAATAGTGCAGATAGTCCTCAACACTGATGAAATAAAAGGAACCAATCGAATTACGAAAGAGTAAACGATTTGTAGCAGAAATCTGCTAATCATTTTTGAAGATTCGTGGATGGTAACAGGAAGCAAAAGGGAAGCAAAACAACTTGCATTGCCGCTTCTTTAAATCACTAATTATAAATAGAAGAAATACCTTCATGCCGGAGAAATACAGGATCAAAGAGCAATACTTCATTTTATCTTTAATCAATTTCTTCCGCTTGCTTTGTGTTTTACAAGAGAACTTTCTTCGATCAGCAACCTAGCTATTTATAATGAATAATAAAACAATAATATAAGAAACTACAACAGAATAATATGCTGTCGTATCACTTAAAGGTTCTAACAGCTAAACAACTAAACTAACTTTCAGTTAGGTATCCTTTTATGAACCAATATAACATCGTCCACGTTGATTGGTAAAGTTAAGGAACCATAAATTTATTTAGCTGATATTCCTGTTGCCAAATAATCTTGATCTGTACTAGGCTCAGATAGCTAGATAACTTCTTTGATTGCTTTGGTGGCAACAACGTTTTCGGCATTAAAGGTCAATAAAACAATTATATTTTGCAGCTGAAAATTTTATTTTATTAGGCCCTGTAGTTGATCTTCTTTGTTGTGTAAAATAATGTAGAAAATAAATTCGCACAACAAACAAACAAATAACCAAACACGATGCGATTTAAATGGTTTAGCAGAAATCTGCCTACATCCATGGGGAGAGGTTATTTCACCATCAACAGGTGGCATAAAAGAAAAAATTAATTGAATTAGGGTTTCGACTCAACACACTCAAATTCATCATATTCCTTCGTATAAATAAGAGAGGATTAGGGTATACGCCCTAAGAATATTTCAAATAAGTAATTAAATCTCCTCAAATTGGGTTTCACAATATACAATCATTGTATAATTAGATCTCCCCAAGTCATGTCACCTAATATTATTCTTCCTAATATACACATTTTTTAATTTACGACAATTAGATTTTAATACTTTCCATAACAATCTTTACTGCATCACTCACTTTCAAATCAGTGAAAGAGGATCAAAATGAGCTCCAACACGATAACGGTTGCATCGAGATAGTTGTCTACGTACCCCTCTCTCCCGAGGGGATCAAGCCTTTTGTAGTTTTTCAAAATGTTTGAATGGGTAATCAATCTTAAGCTTGGATGTTCACCAAACTCCTACAGTAGGTGAACTGATGGACTGGTTTTTGAGCATGTTCGCTGGTGAACTATTGACAATCTTCTTCTCTACTTGATCATAAAGTTTGAAACACTTGACTCTCGCTTGAAGTCGATGAAGATTGCTTTCTGTGCTCACGGGTCTAGTTTATCATTCTGCACGTGGTTGTATGTTGGACACCAAAACACTCTTATGTGCTCATATTCTCTAGAATGATGCCCCGATCACATCTCTTTTGGGGTCTCATTTTCAATAGCTATAGAAGGCCGACTGTTCATTCAGTGATAAGCTAAAAGCAAGATTTTATCATAGTTTGAAAATGGTTATAACATAATTTCACAATATTTACAGCTCAATTTTGCATATCATACTAGGTTTTATTCGACAACATAATAAATACAACACAACTACAACAAAATAACTACGACATAGTCGATTACGAGTGTTTACAATGATTAAATTATAATCGAGGCATCCTTGAATAATGATTCAATAATGACTGAACCATACTCTATTTATTTTTTACTATAATTGATTTATGTTCAATCATTTTTCAAAGAAGGTTTGAAGATAGCTTGTTTATTATTTTATCGTTATTTATTTTCTAGGTTTGTATCTACTAATATTTTGGGTTTAGGATCTAGAGTGTGAGGATCGTATTCAATATTAAATATATCCAAGAATAATATTATTAATCTTCACAAATGATGAATAAAGAGAGATTGGCTCCATGAAGCATTACCACAAATCAAACATGCGTATTATAAACTGAGAAAGTTTTGGGAAGATAAAAAGTCAACGAGCCCATATGATCAATATGTTGCCTGATTATTGGCAAGGGTTCCAATTTTTGGTTAAATATCGAGGATATTAAAAGCGGAATATTTGTATCGAAAACAAAATTTTAGGCGTATTTCTTAAAGAAAATAACTAGTGGGCATATTCTCTAAATTTTGCTATTATGGTAGCATCTAAAATCAAATTTTCATCAGCATTTTTAATATGAAAATAAAATTTACTAACTTTTAACTTAAACGTAAAAATTTGAACTCTTAGATCCTAAATCTATTCATAACATATAAAAACTCCAATCACATATAAGCATAAATAAATTCAAATTAAAAAAAATAAATATACATGTAAATGAAAAAATACAAAATTTTAATCTAACTTAAAAAATAAGAATCTTACTTGACAGATCTTACATGAATCTACAAATAAGTTATATATCTATTGAAAAATTTATTGATCAATGTAATAAAAGCTACTTCTAACCAAAAAAAAAAATCTAGAATTTTTATTAGAAACATGCAATTTAAATAAAATACAAAAATTGCAAATTCTTTATTAATTACAACAATAACTTTCTTTGCCAAAAAAAATGCTACTGGATGAAACCTTATAAAATTTGGAGGAGGTAGAAAAGGAGATTTAGTTTAAAATGTATGGAAGCATCCAAAAAATCAGCCAAAAAATCGAACGAATTGGTTGATTGAGCTAAGCAGAGTGAAAGGGAGGGTAAAAGGAGGTAAATTGGGGCCAAAATTTGGCAGATAACTGAATGGGGAAGTAGGGTTTGGGATAAGAAAATATGAACAGAATTATGGCAAACTTTCAGCTTAATTTTTGTCAAAAATTCTTACAAATTAATGGCAACATTCTGCTTGTAATTCCTGCAAAATGTTTTCTCTGATTAGCTTGCTAGAAATCGTCTGTTTTACTATAATGTGAGGTTGTTTAGTTAGAATTATAAAATTAGAAAATGCTAAGAGGTTGTTTTGTTTCTTGCGTTAGCAGTGTAAAGTTAACCCAATGCAGAGATTTTCATAATTCTGCTGTTTGGTTGGATGAAAATGAAATGCAATAAAATTTTTTTGTTAATTTAGAATTTACCTTGTAATTCAAAATTTTTATATTTTGAATTTATTAGATTTCTTCAAAATTGCTGTCATGGCCACCATCACTCGCTTGCCACTTGTCGTCGTTGCCGCCTCCACCCACACTGCCTCTGCAACCGCTGCTTGCCTTTGCCACCCACCACCCATCATAGGTGTCGCCGGCACTAGTCATTGTTGCTGTGATCGCCTAACATGATTTACACTGATTTCATTTTTCTTCAAACCAAACACAAAAAGTTTATTTCTTCATTTACTTTTTACCAAACCAAACAACTTCAAAGTATTTCAGTTACTCTACATTTCAATTACATTGTATTCTTTTTTCAGCAAACTAAATAACCCTTAAATGAGAAATGATTACATTAAAGAGCCAATTAACATAACATCTAATGAAGATAAAGTAAAAAATGGATATTAGGGCTAAAGATGAACTAATAAGTGTTGTAGATAGAATTATCTGAAAAATATTACAAAATAAAATTGTAGAAATAAATAGCATGAGTAGAAATTATGCAATAAAATAAAAAAAGTAAAAATAAATAAAAAAAAATAAACTCGTACAAAATGATGGGAACAGTTAGTTTTTGTTTAGGTTTGCACATGATTTGTTTATGTTTGTTGTCAACACCTTTTAGAAACTATTTTCTCAACTACAATTTTTTATTTTGCTTTCCCAAAACCAACTTTTCTAAAATAAATTTTGGGAAAAATATGAAAATAACTGTACAATCTTTTAATGCAATGAAATATTACTTTTTTCTGCTGGATTTTCTACAACAAAAGTAATGAAAAAGCTGTCCCAATTGAGCATTCATGTAGCACCCAAACAGAAATGAACAGTGAAGGAGACTCATATACTGTCCCAAAATACATAGGATAAGTCAAATGATGATGATGATAAATATTGACTTCCAAATTAGAATGCAATGACTAAATCAAATGTACTAAGCTGATCAGTTCTTGTGTTCTTACTTATATCTGTTTTCTTGTTGTTGCAGATGATTTTTTCTGTCGCTGTTGAGGATGTTAAACGCGAAGTAAAAATACTGGAAGCCTTGAGAGGTCATGAGAATGTTGTCCACTTTTACAATGCGTTTGAAGATGATGATTATGTGTATATTGTTATGGAGTAAGTTTTGATCAGCTATTGCTACGTTAAAAGACATGCTGTTATGATTACTGTCTCTTCTGTATAAATTAATACAAAGCTTGAAATCTCTGTCATTTTTGTTCCAAGTTCATGGATAGTTAGATAATTCATTAAAACTCTTTTTCTTTGTTGTTGTGTCGATATAACTCATTAAACCTTTTACTACTTTTTTTAATTTTTTTTTAATATTAAAACGTTTGTTTTGTCTCTTTCTGTTCATTTTATCCCTAAGCATTCTTCATGGGTTCCTCTAAAAGGACAGTGGTTTGTTTTCAAGCATGTAGAAACTATTCGTAGTTGTTTCTTTATTATATACAGATGATCAAACATTTTATATGTTTTTTTTAGGGGATATTTGGTTTGCTGCAAATGCAATGTCAAGGTTTGTAGAGTACTGTAATTGAAATGTATTTGAAATACTTTCAAGCTCTTTAGTTCGCGATAAAATAAACGTAGGATTTTATATTTTTTTGTTTGGTCTGAATTAAATTGAAAATAATATATTTTAAAATATATTTTTTTATTCGGCTGCGGTGGGGGGGCTGGCAGGCTGCTGGCAGCAATGGGTTAGTTGGCGGCGTGACCAACTGTCAGTGGTTGCAATTGTGACTACGGGCGGCCAGCGGCGGGTGGTATCGAGCGGCTGTTTGTGGACTGGTAGGCGGCTTGGTGGGTGGGGCGGACTGTGGCTAGGACTACGGGCGGACTGCGGCTGGGACGACGGTCGATGATGGGCAACAGCGACCGGCGAGCAGGGGCTTGGCCCGACGGCTTGCCGATATCATTTTATGTAATTCAAATTCAGCCAAATTGTCCGAATTCTGAATTCAGCCGAAATGAACTATGTTGTATACTTAAAATTCTTTTATAAGTTACATTTTATCTGTAAATCTTTATGCCTACCACATAATTTTTTCAAATCCCTGCAAAAAAAAATTACAGTATACCATAAATTTACTCAACCAAACAACTCCTTTGCAGGGCAATTGTTCTAAAATTATCTTGAACTAAATAGAATGTTTTCTTCTTATTGTAAAGTCTCCTTCATAAGAATACTTTTGTTGTTAGGTAAAACCAGTTACATTTTGTTTTTTCATTTTTTTTTGCTTATTGAGCCGGCCATGTGGTCTGTTATTTGAATCTCCTTCTGGAACCTGTATTTAGCTCACTTATATTTGCATAGAAAACCTCAATTGTTTGGAATGTAAGTTTAAAAAGTTTCTTTTATTTGGTGAAGTGCTAATTTTTTCTTTGTACTGTACTTTTAAATACAGACAGGCTGTTTAGTTTATGTTGCATACTTTGTTTCTTGAGATTGTTTAGTTTATGTTGCATACTGCTTGTAATCCCTTATTCTATTAATTTGTACATGGCGTTGATGAGCTTTTTCTTTTCTCCATTTGAAATCAGATTATGTCAGGGTGGTGAACTGTTGGATCGGATTTTGGCCAAGTAAGGCTGATTAGATTTCTGTTGTTTTAGTTATGTTGATATATATATATATATATATATATAGTGTGTGTGTGTGCGCGTGTGAATTTTTGTCATGATAATGAAGCAAATATTTCACACGGGCAAGATTATTGCTGTTGCTAAGCCATTTCAAACTTAGCAATGTGATAAACCACGATTTTGAGTTAAATTGTATGTTGACCGTAGTTGGAGAATTATCTTGTGTAATTTATTGTCTATATAAAGTACAAGATTTGATCAAGACAATGATAGCTCCTCAACTAACTCGTCTCTAATTTGCTTTTAAATATTGCCATGGAGCAACCTTTAACTTACTGTTATTTCTGCAGAAAATACAACCGTTATTCTGAAAGAGATGCAGCAATAGTTGTCCGTCAGATGCTTAAGGTTGCGGCTCAGTGTCATTTGCATGGTTTGGTGCATAGAGACATGAAGCCCGAGGTCAAATTATAAAATATAGTTGCTGAGTTATTTTGTTGGAGCCGTTGATGTACTTGGATCACAGTTTACTGAGTTATATTGATCTAATTTGCAGAACTTCCTTTTCAAGTCGACCAAAGAGGATTCACCACTTACAGCAACAGATTTTGGTCTTTCAGATTTTATAAAGCCAGGTTAGGTTTAGAATATCTTAGATTATATCACTCCCTTTATGCATTTGTTATTCTCTTAAAGCTAAATTTCAAATATTACAAATGATGACAGTTTGTTTGTTATATTTTATTTTCTGTTTACTTCAGGAAAAAAGTTCCATGATATTGTTGGCAGTGCTTACTATGTTGCTCCTGAAGTACTGAAACGGAAGTCTGGTCCAGAGTCTGATGTATGGAGCATAGGTGTGATTACTTATATTTTGCTCTGTGGGAGGCGCCCATTTTGGGATAGAACAGAGGATGGAATTTTTAAAGAGGTAACATTGTGGAAAATTTCTAGTTTGTTCAGCTCTGATATCTTAACAGATTTTGGCTTTTAGGCTTGAAGTTACATATTACATTCATCATCGTCATCATTAACCTTATTTCAACTTTTTGGGGCTGGCTTTACGAAACCAAAATTTTCATTAGTTCCTGTGAAATTTAAATGATGTCTGAGGTTTAAAAGTTATTATTTGAAAATCATTTGAACAACTTCTATTCAATGTTGCCTTTAGATCTACTCTTTGCTTCCTTGTTGTACACTAATTTATATACCTATCTAATGGGTGTGTACTTTCAGCGTTTATTGTACTTGTCTAAATCATGCAAGTCTATTTTTAACTATTTTATATTCAATAATGTTGGATCCAAATTTATCCTGTAAACACACGACTAAAACAACAGTACAGTTGTGTGTGTGTGTGTTTGAATGGTGGAAATTCAATACATTAGGCTAAGGTCATGTTATTGCTTGTATGGCTCATAGATATGTAAAGTCATAATAATCTGGAGGCATGTATGTAAATGCCACAAGCACAATGAAGCTTTACATACATACCACCCAATTCCTATTTATTTACCTATTAAACACCTAAACTTTAGTTTACATCTTTAGATATTTACTAATGCATGAAAATGTTCATTTCTATTTTTAAGAGTTGAAATTGTGGTATTTTTATGTGATGCAAAAGATTTGGGTGTTATAAGTATAAAAAGTAAAGCTTAGGTGTTAGATGTGAAAATTCATAGGAATTGGATTGTATGTATATAAATGCCCTGCACAAAGAAAGTAGAAAATTCTAAGACTCACAAAAATATGAACGTCTTAGTGATCTCGAATTAAACTAGAGTAGGCCTATTTCTAGGCACGGCTTGATATTTTAAGGACCCATAGAACGATTAGATGGGCTGATGTGTGGTTATTGTGAGGAGACAAGTTGCAGTCTACCAAAACCGGGCAACAATCTTGGACGGAGTAGGAATGAAGCACTGTGTAGTATTCTGCATTGGAGAAATACAGGACGAGACCCCTGGCAGTTGGGACTCTTGTTCAATATGTTGATCAATACCGGTGAAAAATGTCCTAGTACTGGAATCAGACATACTGCTTAGCCCAACCTAGTCAGGCTAGGATCAGCCAGGGCTAGTCATGTAGCATAAAAAATTGGCCTAAACTTTAAGGAGATGACCCGTGGGTGGATCTGGAAATGTTGCATTACACTCTACCCCCTTGTTTCTAACCTTACATGTAGTTTTAGGATTCTGAGCGATAAGCCTCACCTTGTTTTCACACTTGAGACCCTCAAACTCCACCGCCAAGGACTAAAATCTTTGAGCTATGTGCTTGACGATTCTTCATTGGATGGATGGCATGAAAAAGCTTGATTGATTTGATTATAATTGATTTAAAAACCTTTTCATACAAATGAGGATACCTGTACGGCAACTTCATAATTTATGATTACATTCAGTGAAATGTCAAAGCAATAAAAACTGCATTTCTTGTTTGTGTTTCAATTTCACTTGAATTAGCCTTAGGAAAAAATGATTTAAAGCTGAGGCTCCAGACAATTCTGGGTTTGGGAAAAGAAATCATTTCTCATTGCTGTTATTGTTTTCAAATTTCGTTGATGTTTGTATTTGTGTACTTCAGTACTTGATGGCTTCAACTGAAAAAGCAAGCATCCTTTCTTATCTTTTTTGTCTGGAATGGAGTCAAAGCCTTTGCATATCTTTGATAATTCTTCAATTTTGTGGTAGGATTTCAGCTATTATTTTATGTAAATTATATATTACTCTCGTCAGTCACATTTCGTTCCTATTATTTACGGTAACATTACTATTTGTTGTTGGGCTGTAGGTCTTAAAAAAGAAACCGGATTTTCATCGGAAGCCATGGCCTACTATAAGCAACAGTGCCAAGGATTTTGTTAAGAAGCTACTGGTGAAAGATCCTCGTGCTAGGTTGACTGCTGCGCAGGCTCTGTGTATGTATTTAGTTTGGAATTTCTATGAAAATACTTTATTTTGGTTTTGTTCAACCTTTTAAAAGAAATGGAAATTCACCCCCATTAACACATGCACACCACATTCATAATGAATGTAGGCTAACATGTATAATATATAGAGTTTGAACCTTGTAAGAAGGATAGCCAGTAACGATAATCTAAACTATACAAATTCGAGTCAAAGTTGAGGGGTCTGTGGAAGTCTGGAAGAAGTTGGAGTATGACGGGAATAGAAAGTTGGATGGAAGGAAACCTGCTATACCCTCTTAAGACTGCTAGTAATAATTTAAAACAAAGTTTTCAAAACATACCATACAATTATATGAAACATAACTCGTCCACATAAATGTACATACTTGAAAACATAAAGCTATATATATATTTTAAAGAGTGGTATTTGAGAATGCCACTCCTCATATATGCTATCTGTCCCTGTAGGGATCGAACCTGGGTTAGAGGACGACTGACAACGCAGTTGCCTGTTAACTTGCCACCCAAGAGCGCTCAAGATGTATGTGTGTGTGTATATATATATATATGCCCACACAAAAACCACAAATGATTCCAAAACTAGAAAATACAGAAAAATACATTAGAGACTTAAAGAAAAAGCCTAAAAATGCCAAAATATAAAATATCAGGTGGCTAGAGAGCGATCCAATTTGGTCTTATCTCTGCCTCTAGTTCTAGGGAAGGAGCAAGCTAATAAGTTGTTAAGATGATTGTCATTTCCAATGGTAACCAATCTATCATCCAATATGTTTCCGAGCTGGAGTCGGCCTCCATTCTTCTTCTTCCTCCTGGAGTAGACCTGTCATTCTTCATCCAAAGATTGACTCACCTGATCTTGGTTTAAAGTGTGTTGGAGATGTGCAGGTTGTTGAACATTAGAAGCAACTACATGTTGTACCGGTTGATCTGTTATTGGATCAAAGGAGCACTCTCGTGTGTCTTGACATGTATGTGAGTCTTCTTCAATGACAGTGGGAGGTATAAGCACAACTGGATCTGTAGCTGTAGTATGATGTTCTTCGTCAGAAACTGCGGTGTTGGAAAGAGGATCAGATTACATTTTCTCAACAGGAATGATAGGTGACTGATCTTTAATTATATCCGGCCTTAGATGAGGATGCGAACGATAACAAATAATAGAGTTGTGGTCAAACATACTGCAATGAAAGCAATAAGATGGGTGTGGTTCTATTTCAACCTTTTGCCAATGCCGGTTGTGAGTGGTTTCAATCCATATCTCATCCGGAGCTGGTTGCGATATCTCTTTCTGATATCTCTTTCAACTAACACATAAGCCGCAGAGGGTCTGGTGACAGCAAGCGTATGACTATCAACCTTGAGAGGCTTACCGTAAGCAGTTGGCTTACCGTAAGCAGTTTGAGAGGCTTACCGTAAGCAGTTGCTAAGAAGTTGAGAATTTCCAAGTTGAACATATGTAATTTTAACCTCGGAAACTTTATCCAAACTAGAATAATAGGGGACTCCACTTTTGGATCAAAACCAATAGTCCATTTCAGAATTCTCATATAACGGTTGTCGATCTTGATAACTTTCCAAGAAAAAATGCGAGTGTAATCGACATTGTGAAACAACTGAATCAGTATGTGTCGACCGTCAGGTAAATAAACATTCCAACTGTCCAACAGCTTCATAGCATCAAATTCTTTTCGAATGATCTCAAGTTTTGGGTGACCATAAATAAATTTTCCTACTAGAGCAAAACGCCATGAGGATACAAGAGTACTGGTTTCAATCTCTGTGAGAATAAGAGCAGACTTCCTATTTTTTTCTCAGTTTTTTAATAATGGTGTGATTGCCACCACCTTCAAGAGCCTCGTGAAATGATTGTGGTACATTGCAGGATTTACCTATACGAAAACCAATTTCTGAATTTAAAAGAGGAGCACGAGTAGGAATAGGAAAGTCGCCGGCAAGTGTAGTGACATAGGAACGGAACGTCGATGTCATCTCCAGAGCAGCTAGGCCAACTGTTGGAAATATTTAAGCTAACTTCCGAGGCAGTACAATTGTGAGTCGTCGACTGCGGGTGAGAGGTTAGCGCCGAGAGCCGTCGATTGCGGGTGAGAGAAGACGCGAGCCGTCGACTGTAGGGTCATCGAGTATGAGAGCAAAGAGCCTCGTCGAGAGCAGGTGAGACGTCATCGAGTACAGAGACAAGCGTCGTCAATAGGAGCACGTCTGCGAGAGTGTGAAAGCATCGTCTCAGGAGATGGAGAGAATGTGAGAAATCGAGGAATCACGCCGGGAATCGCGATCGTGTGAAACCTAGCGGAGCCCGCTGCACACACACACACACGCATATATATATCTATCTATATATATATATATATATATATATATATCATGCATACATGCATATAGAGATCTATACATACATGCATACATGCATATAGAGATAGATACACACATAAATATGCATACATGTATTCATACATACATAGATATGTACATACAAATGTAGATACATACATACATACATAGATATGCATATATACATACATATATAGGCTATTTTGGAGAAAAGGGATCAATCTCATATTGTTAGTGGATCATTCTCATTTTTTGCATGTTGAAGTGAGTTTGAAGGCATTTCGGGTTGGGTTGTATTTGTTTATGCTGGTTGCATCTTGGAAGCTAGAAGGGAACTGTGGAGCTCTATGAAGGAAATTGGATATAATGCCAACAGATTCAGGTGTATTGGTGGGGACTTTAATATGGTTTGCAAACAGTAATCAGTCACTCATTAATGAGTTCAATGATGCTATTGAGGGAGCTGGATTGTTTGACTTGGGTTTTAATGGACCTGAATTTACTTGGAGAAGGGGGAATATGTTGGAAAGGCTAGATAGAATTCTAGCTAATCAAATTTGGCTAGATAATTTTTCTGCTTTTGAAGTGCTACATTAACCGCGTACATGTTCTGATCATAGTCCATTGCTACTATCTCTATCTGCAATTCCCAAACCCATATCCACTTCATTCATATTCCTCAATACTTGGATCAACCATGCAGTTTTATGAAGTGTGTGAAGGAGGTGTGGAAGACTAGCTACTCGAATAACCATTGGATTAACTTATGGCAATTACTCAAAGGTATAGCCAGCAAACTGCAGAGCTGGAACAAACAAGAGTTTGAAAATGTTCATCAACTTGTTGCTGATGCTGAAGAGAGAGTCAGAAGGTTAGAATTACAAATTGCTGAGGATGGGGTCCAGGAACACTGTGAGCAGGAGTTGCTCAAAGCACAAGCCGATATACTGAAAGTTATTAAGTGAGAAGAGGATTTCTTAAAACAAAAAGCTGCTTCAACCATTTTCAATGATATGGACAGGAATACTAAATTCTACCATGCCTGTCTTAAAGCTAGAAGTATTAGAAATAATATATTGAGAGTCAAGGAAGAGAGGAGGGTATGGCTTGAAAACTTATCAGCAATATAACAAAGTGGGGTGGATTACTTCCAAAAACTCTTTTCTAAGCATGAATCTGTGTGCCCTGTGATTGATTGTTCTCGGTTTGAAGATTGTAGAAACTTTACCAAGGACTTAAAACTGACGGAGGTTCCTTATGTGTTGGAAGTTTGGAATGCAATTAACTCCATTGACAGAAACAAAACATCTGGAGCAGATGGGTTTACTTCGGAATTTTGTAAATCATGTTGGCAGATTTTAAAGGAAACAGCTATTAAAGCAATTCAGGCTTTCTTTTTGGGCGTTGACCCTTATAAATACTTTATGCTTTCTCCATCATACTCATGCCTAAAAACAATGATAAAGAGAACTGGAATCGCTTTTGCCCCGTCAGCCTTACTTCAGTGGTATCTAAGGCTATCAAGAAAATCATTGTCAATCGGTTACAACCTTATTCGCCTTATCTAATAACTCCCAACCAATCAACATTTACCAAAGAAAGAAATATTGTGGAAAATATTTGTTGTGCCAAGAATTGATCACTGATTTGGATAAGAAATATAGAGGGGGAAACATGATGTTAAAGCTTGATATAAGGAAGGCCTATGATACCATTGAGTGGAGTTATATTATTTCTGTTTTCAAAGCTAGAGGTTTTGATTATGGGTTTTGCCAATTAATTGAAAGATGGTCGAATTGCAACTAGTGCATGATGCTGATTAATGGGTCTATTTGTGGTTTTGTAAAAACTCAAAGGGGCATAAAACAGGAGTTCCATTATCTCCTACCATTTTCATACTAGCATTTGACTACTTCAGAATACTGCTCTACACTCTACATGTATTGAAGATGAGAAAAATACACAAATTCAGTTGGAGAGATTATTCATTAAGTTTCTTAGGTCAGGTTTCTCTCATAATATTCATTGGACTAGTTGGAAGAGGATGTGTAAACCAATTGAGGCTGGGGGTCTTAGCTTTCATGACCTTTGCTAAGGACAGTATTTTATTAAGTCACCTCAGAATTGTTCCATTGTTCAAACCTTTGCTAAGAAGATTACACAGCTTCCTGAGGTGAAGTGGGGCATGCTTATCTGGAATGGATGCCTGTCTCCATCTATGGCCTTCTTCTCTTGGAGGTTTCTTTATAGACTTCTTCCTATTGATGATATCCTGAAACTAAATGGCTTAAGAATCTCTTCTTGATGTTTTTTGTGCAAGAAGGATGAAGACTCTTTTAACCACATTTTTTTTCGTTGTGACTATACTGTACAGATATGGAAAAGTATTAGTCACTTGTTTGATATTGAATGCAAGCAAGATGGTTGCTCTGATGTTGATCAATGCAGGCACAATTGACAACACAAAACGCAGAATGACATACATACATTTACCAAATATGATACCATTCATCACATTATGGTTCATTTGGATGGCGAGGAATGAGTCCAAACATGAAGATAATCTGACAGATATTAGGGTGGTTGTGCATAATATCCTTGCTTATATTACTAAGGTATTGATGTTTGGGAAGCAG